ATGCGTGTGTTTGTGTGTGTGCGTGTGTTTGTTTGTATGCGTGTGTGTGTGTGTGCGTGTATATGTGCGAATTATTATTGAAATATCAGTTGCTCGAAGGGTTCAGGGGATCTCGTAGTCGAGCAGTCTCGACTAGAGCTTTCTTACTTGTTAATTATTAATTTTATTTAGGCTTCAGATTATGGGTTAATGATCAAATAAACTCCTACGACGCTGTTTAAATGTAGTTAACGGACAGATCGGTATACGGACTTGGTTAAATCAATTAGGTTTGTTTCAGTAAAGAATATATACATATATTCTTTTCCCTCACATTCAGCAACTCTATATACCTTACACAAGGAATCAATGACTTTTCATACCCTTGCACAGAATCTCTAGCGAATGAGTAACATACTGATTGGTCAGCAAAGACAACAGAAGTTCACACTCAAACAAATAGAATGCGACTTTTTTTTTTTTTTAGTTTATTATGATTAAAATCTGGAGTAAATCATTCAGCGTTTGCTCTTTGGCACTTTGGAATGCAGAATTTGTGTATGTATATGTGTATAGCATATATCCTATTAAAAACTTGTAGACACACGACTCGGCGCTTGTTGTTGTGCTCAGTCGTAATTCGCTTTCAGGCGCTTGGTCAGTTCAGCCGCCTTGTCAAAGAGAGTTTTAGATATCCTTAATGTTTCTCTAAGATCCTTTCGAAGGGACTCGGCCACTTTCTTCAGCGATGGCGTTACCCGGTTGAGTGTGTGCGATGTCCTCGACTCGCGGGACTCTTTAACCTTTAGCGTGGATCGAGATCGGGCATTGGATGTCAGTTCAGGCTGGAAACTCGATCGGCTCTCCTGAGACCTCTGCGAAGCACTCACATAGCTCGCATGGCCTCCGGCATGCTCACGCCTGCTGGTGCGTGAGGACGAATGCTTGGGTTCACTTCTGTGCTGGTCGGCCGATGTGGTTTTCGATCGAACGGATGCACGTGAACTCTTCGGCCTGCCTCCTATGTGATAGTGTGATCCCTCAGGTATTTGCCGTTTGGAAGCGCTCATCTCCTTGTTGATCGCCTGCGAAACCGCGACTTTGCCCAGTTTCGATTCGGTTCTGCGGAGAGCGTCGGCGCTCGACTTGGTCAGGGTGGCCTGTGATACGGATCTGTTGGTGTGCTCCTTCGGCTTCGGCCAGGTGGCGTGGACAGGTGGCGGATAGGTTGGGGTGTCGGGTGCCGTGTAGTTATACGCCGCTTTGGTGTCGATTGGACCGATATTGAAGGGATCGAACGGTATATAGTCCTCGTCCATTAGATACATTTTGGCTAGCTTAAAAATAATTTCCTTTTGCTATGGATACTATTCTACGAAATTAATCGACTTTCGCACATTTACAATGAATCCAGGACAAAATGCTGGAGCACAAGCCCGTTTTCTGCGTGTTATCTAGCCAAAATTTAATTTATTTTGTGTTTATATATTAGTGCATTTTTATCGAGCCGGAATTCGATAAGTTGAGTTTACACTACTATTCCACTGAAAATTTAAAATAAACTGAATGGAAAGTAGAAAATGAGAAACGACTGTGAGAGTCGAAACGACAAATTCCTCATGGCATGCTGAGCAGAAAAATCAAATGAACTGTACTCGACATTAGGCAGATTTTTAACTGAAAGGAAATACCTTCCATTCTATCAAAACTAAGTTAATTCAATATAAATACAATTCAGGTTTTTCTATTATTTGGAATTTTTATTTTTATTGGCAAGTCCAGCAAATAGACTTGCCCAAGATTTTCATAGATATCTTAATTATAAATACAGCTCAGATCAGTCAGTTAGGCATTCGTCAGAGTAGAGTGCTTCAGTGAGACTATGTGATGTTGTTGTAGGCCTCGAGGCGATTGCATAGCTTCGTCGCCTTCAGGATCAGCGCCTCTGCTGTCTTTATGGACTGAGTCAGCTCCTTCCTGATAGAAGCAAGGACAACCTTTAGCACGGGTTGGGCATTGCCAATGTCTGATGTGCTGCCCTTCACATAGAGATTCATGTGAGCAGGAAACTGGCGGACAATCTTTCGCACCTTGCGATGACTCCTTATGGAGACTTGGCTTCTTGTGGCCGACCTTAAAATGTGGCACGAGACGACCGACTCTGCGGTCCTTATGGACTCCTCTAGCTGCTTCCTAATCGAAATAACGACTGCTCTCAGCATAGCCGATCGTTTCGGAGTTCTGCGCGAGGGTAGATGAGATCCTAGAAAGCCTAGAGAGCCTGAGTGATCTGAAGGCTTAGCCTCCACGTTCGATTCACTTTGCTCGAGGACAGGGGAATTTGTTTCCGCATGAATATCTGTTGCAGACCCTATTGTATGATAGGAGGACTCCTCCTTTAAAGTCGATTCCATGAGCTCGAGATCAGCGGAATTCATTTCCGCGTGATTCATTCCTATAGAAACTTGGCCTCTTCTCGTAGTCCTTGATGCGCAGCCCGAAGGCTGTTCCTCTACATTCCATTCTTCTGGTCGCTGACCGCCCTCTGCAGCTTGTATCGAATTCAATTCGACTAACTGTGCATATAGGTCATTATGCTGATCCCTCAAGATCTCTCTAGTTCTCATCGATGTGGCCGAGCCCCTTGGCGCGTCCAGCCTGCCGCCCGCCGATGCCCGTCGCCTGAGCACCGTACTCTTTTTGCGGGAGCTCATTTCCGAGGTAGCGCGAATATCGAACGAATTGAAGAGTACCTTGTTACCGATCATATTAAGAGAAGAACATAAACTTTATTAAAACTCAAAGTTAGTCTACGCTAAATATTAGCACGCTGTGCACTTACAGTTTAATCCAGGGAAACAGTCACACTCACGATTTATCTCTGAAAAGTATGGGCAAATAATATATCTAAACAACTAAATTTTGATTGAATTTCATAGCCCTGGATTTTTATTGTGTTCCGTGCCAAAGTCAAAAGCGAACTGAATTCCATTTCTGTCAAAATGTTCCACTCCAAAGGTTGAATGTGAGTATTAACGCATTTTGCATGGAATACTGTGTAAGTCATGTGAGCATACATTTATATGGAATGATTATGTGTGCCAGTGTAAGCTCTTTGGCATTAGACAAGCGAAAAATACAATTCAATTCATTAGACTAAACGCCTTGTTGAGGCGCCTACGCCCTTTTGTAAGAGCCATTGGCGCGTCAGCCGACTCCTCCTTGGGAATATTTTAATTAAAAAAGCCAAAACACCGACATTTGAGCCGCACATATTGTAATCAATGTTGCCAAGTCTTCGAATGTACGTGCTGATAAGGCAGATGCCAGACAAAAGGCAGCCACTGTCTCTGGCTGGCAGGAGGCTCTTGACAATTTACTTGCTGCCTGGGACAAATTAATGAGTGCCTCGTGTGTGTGGGTGTAACTCTTTTGTTGTTTCATCTCCGTCAAGTTGATATGTATGTATATGTAATAGGCATTGCAATTAACTTCGGCACATTGTTTTGAAAGATATTCAGGGCAAACGAATGCCAGTTGAAAAATATTCATCAAGCTATTGCCACATGCAGGCTTTTATTTTATTTAGATGCTAAATCAGTTGGTGTAATTACAAATTCGGCATTAACTTCGAAAACCTGAAACAATGGCTAAGTACCAGAGACCTAATCCAACGAGCTCATTTCAGCAAGCATCGGGCGACTGCATTGGCACCGGTATCTACGGCAATGGACTGGTCTTTGATAATCAAAGATATCCTTTCCAGGTGGATAGGATGTCAATGCAATCGCCAGCAGTTAGCGTCTCACAATACAAGTCCCAGCCGGACTTGCCCCGGCACACCATCTCCCGGGCAGCAATACGGCGAGAACGGCGGATGCCACAGGCCCCAGCAGCTCAGGCGCCACAAGCCATGCCCCGCTTCGCGTCCCAGTCCCAGTCCCCGTATATGCACCAGAAACGGCAGCAGCAACAGCAGCAGCAGACGCCAATGCGACAAGAGCAACAGCAGCAGCAGCAGCAGCAACAACAGGAACAGCAACAGCAACAGGAACAGCAGCAGCAACAACAGCTACAGCTGCAGCAGCAGCTTCTACAGTTCCAGCAGCAGCAGCAGCGACAGCAGCAGCTACAGCAGCAGCTACAACAACAACAACAAGAAATGTACCGCAGCTGGTGCAGCAACACACAAGCTTTTCCCAACAATCCATTGTCGCAAGTCTATAATTACGGAGCGAATCCACTCAGCTCAAGTTTTTGGCCTGGATACACTATGATCACATCCCCAGATTCGAGTATACCTTTCGCCTTCGGCTTAGGTCCCACAGATGTTAATGAAATCAGTAATACCATTCTTTAAGTTAAATATATTTATGCGGTGCTTTCGGTCTACTTAACTAAATGAGTTTTACTGCAAATCCAAGACTCACCATACATCATTGCCGCAAGCCTCGACAGAAATTCGTGTAACCCTTACTTATCGTTCACACATCATCCTCACAGCAGGATTCGGGCGTGCGATGGCTGAGCGAGCGCCATTTAGTGGTGAATTTCCGTCTTAGTTGCCAACGAATGCCATACGTGACATTTTTCAAATTCTGTTTTTAGCATTCCTTAATCGAGCCACATACATACATATATACACTTATATATATATTGATGTGTGTGTGTGGAAATGGAAATGGCATGATATCTGAATACGGGACAGCCACCTTCTAGTGGTTTTTGCTGTGGCTACGTGTGCCAGTGTCTGTCTCTGACGTTTTCTCATTTATAGATTTTTCTAATTATTTTCCCTCTGCGCAGTTATTTTTAATATTCGTTGAGCATTTTGCAAACAATTAAAAGACTTTTACCTCTCATTTCGCCTTTGAAGTCTAGGCAAAAACAAATTCAATAAACCAGGAAATCCCATTCCTAATTGAATTCAATTATTTTTATTGTCAACTCTGAACGGAAGAGAAAATTTACAATCCAATTAAATTCAAATTAAGGTGCAATAAACTATTATTTAAACTAATCAATACACACATATACAAAAGGAATTAAAAATAGAAAATAAAAATTTAGAAATATTTTAGCAATATATGTATAAACATTTTATATTTGAGGCAATATAAATTTTTAAATTTCATCAATTTATAAATTAAAATATAATTCTTTTTATTAATATATAAAATTAAAACAAAAAATATGAAAAAAAATATATTTAATTATTAAATACTTGCGTGTGATTAACTAAAAATAGAAAAATATATTTAAAGAATAAATTAAGCGAAATCTTTTCGGCTCCGACAAACGTTTTGCACTTGCATACAGAAATCAATTAAAACTTTGGCCCCAACTCATTTAAATAAATAAACCAAGCTGAGCATAGCAGATTATCTAATAATTAATAGCATACGCCCGATGTCTTCGGCTTATTCAGCTTCTTGTGTCACAGCAATGTCTAATGCTGTCAAGTGCTCCACTTAAAAGGACTCAAAGCGAAAGTTGAAAGAGCGGCTCAAACGCTGCTGCGGCGCACAGGCGACGCAACTTTGTCTAATGATGATCCCTAAAGTCAACTTGCTAAAGTAACAAGAGCTCACAAACACGCGCATACATAAGCATAAGCACATGCACGCATAAGCACACACACACACACGCACACACACACATAGAGATAAGCTTATAGACACGGCTACTGCGCTGCTCATAAGCACACAATGGTATTAACGCCATAATTCGTAAGTTACAATACACACATTCACACACACACACACACACACATGCTCACACATACATATGCGCACCGCAAAAGGATTAAGTTATATTAAAGTTGTGAACGCTGCATTTTAACTAAGTTTTGCACGCTGCGGCCCTGTGGCTGAGGCAGTGGCTGCTTTTGTGCCTTTGACACTTTTGGCTTATGGTGAATGCGAAATGGCGTCAATAAGTGCGTTGCAGCCAAGCTCCAAGCTGAAGCGGCCGAAGAGCATGCCATGCAAATTTAATGCCCATACTAATAATGTTCATAATAATAGTAGGAATAATAGTAATAGTAATAATAAGAGCTCGGCACATATTTACCCGACCGACTCAAGTCCGAAATATGACAACAATTTATACACTGGCATGGAATTCCACCCGTAGCGCTGGCAGCGCCGCAGCCTCAGCTTTCGGCTCCTGCCGCACTTTCATTCGCCCGCTTTTACTTTGTGGCATAATAAATTTATAAAATTTATACAGAGTTCTTAAAATGTAGAAAGAGTATAAAGCAGAGCAGTTCATATATCGCAAGCCTTTGAAAGCCTTTGTTATTGGCAATTTTTCGGTTCAGTTAACTGCATATTGGATTAAGAGCAGCTACTTTTATTTATTTATTTCATTCATTTATTATTATTTATTTTTTATAACGCAATTTTGGTTAATTTTGCGGACAGAACATAAAATCTATATAATATGGACTCGAGTTGATAGAAGAAGAATTATAATAGAAGAGCGGTATACCGCAATGAAGCATAGTTTCTACCTTATACATACCCTATATCTCCGCTATTTTTTCTTAGTTTTCTACTCCCATAGCATTTCTTATGTCTCTCATCTGTATCTCTCCGTTTATATCTAGAAACATACACTCACACATATATTTACTACATTCTCTTTCCTGAACTACTTCCCCTATTTCCTTTAGAGTATTTGCCCTTCGACTATCAACAGAAAGTTTTCCTTTTATATACAGATTTTCTGCTGCAACCGCCGATGACCCGTGGTGGTGCATTCTGCGTGACGTTACAGGTCAAGTATTCATTTTTATACCTGTCCTTCTCTTTTCTTTATTTTCTTTTATATTCTCTCTCTCACGCACTCTCTCTTTCTCTCTCCTTTTCACGCTGCTATCTCGTTCTGACGTTATATATTTTTAACGTGTGCGCATTTTTATGGGCAAACTTTGCTGAAAGTTTTTAAATTTACAAAGCAAGAAGAAAGCAAAAAAACAAAATGCGAACGGTCAAATATGAAAAGAGCTGCACGAAAAATGAATTCAAATAAATTGCATTTCTTCTGCTGTTAGTTTTGTGTATGGCTCACTCGGTTTATAGGCACTTGGTCAAGAATTGAACGACTGCATTTAATTACTCTCGCGCCGCTGAACATTGCTTTTAATTGTTTTGCCTTTTGCATTTCACAGTTCGCCTTTCGCATTTCGCATTTTGCTTGTAATTTGCATTTTGAGCACTTTCGCCTGGAGCAGAGCTGAAATTAGTCGCAGCTCTTAAGGATTATTGCACTCGGCTGGCTCCGCAGCTGAGGCGGTCATAAAAATGTTGGCGATTTCATCTTTAAGAATCCATATAACACTTAGGATGCCCTCTTTCAAGTGTGAAGCGTGCTTTTTAACCATTTACCGACGCATGCCATGTCTAATAAAACTTATGTGTGTGTGTGTATGCTTGAAAGCCATAAACGACTCAAATACACTCTCACATAAATGCGGTCTTCAGCAGGGCTTTGCTTAACCCAGCAGAGTCAACTTGTTGAAGTGTTTACTGTTTGAGATCCCGCCGTGTTGCCATCTAAATACATAAAACACTTCCCCCAAATAAACTTTCCATTGCAAATAGCTAAACTGAGAGCAAACTCATCAAGCTTTATCTAGCTACTGAGCATAAACCAAACGCAAAGCCCGCTTCTGCCGTGTTCTCCTTTAAATATTGTTTTATGTCTTTTGAAATGAATTTAAGGAAAAGGCTTAATGCAGAGGCACGCCTGAGGCATCAACTGAAGAGTCCATACAGCTCTGAAATGTGCAAAAGAAATGAATATATGTAACATATATAATTCTGTTTTAGCAACATTTAATGTGTAAAGGCATTTGTATTCTAACTAATCAAAAAGCTTTGAGGAATTCCTTTAATATATATTTCGAAAATCATATATATATTTATATTCACAGAGGATATTCCTAAGTGGGTTGATTATCATCTTCCACCAGCAAATTAACATCGGAATACTTGATTTTATCGAGTTCAGTGTAGACTCGCTTGCACATGGTTATCTCGGGATACTGTGAGAAACTCAGTTTGCTATAATTTATAGTATATAAGTATATGCTTATATGCCATACCATTTTGGCCACTTTCCAGCAGTTTAGAGCCGTCTTATTGCGACCCAGGCGCAAGTTAATCGTCGCCAAGAAACCCCACGAATCGGGAATATAGATGTCAACCTCTGTGCTGCGCGCCAGATAGACAATGGCCTCCTCAAGGCGATTCAACTGCCGGGGATTAAATATTAAATTGAAGTTATAATAGAAATATATAATATGTAATATCTTTAATTATATAATATAACAGCACTTCACTTACATAATACAGAGTCAAACCCATACCATAGTTGGCCATGAAGTTCTTGTCCGTCTTGGCAGTGGGCACGCACAGCTCGTAGGCCTGCAGGGCGAGCTCAAAGTCCTCGCACTCGAAGCTGAGGCGGGCCAGGCGCAGATAGCTCAGGTAGAACATGGCCAACGTAGACGTGTCCTCCTTATCGATCGTGAGCAGTTCCTTGAAGAATTCGATGGCGTTTAGGTAGCGTTGGCGCGAGTACTCCACATTGCCATTGATGTGCGCTTGATAGTATTTCTGTTGGCCAACACTGAAGAAACTCTGGCAGCAATGCCTCAAGGGGCACATCCAATACTCACCATCATCAGGCCGCGCTCGCTGCTGTCTGTGGGCAGCTGGCGCACTTGGAACAGCTCGTCGATTTGACCCTGCAGCATCTTCAGCGTTGTGGTCACCAAATACGTTTCGATGGGCGGAAACTCGGCTGCGATCTGGCTGTAAACGGTCTCGGCGAACGCGTAGGCGCCCAAATTGGCGAACTTCTTGAAAACCTCGTAGAACTTGATGACATGCACGCTCTTGTCCGTCAGATCGAATTTCAGCGGCATGAATGTCTCGTAGAGCGGCCGCGGCGTCAAGGGCATAGACCTGCTGGGCACATCATAGAGATTTTCGTACCGCCAGCGCGTATACTCCATGCCCGGCAAGTAGTTCTTCTCCTTGTAGTAGCAGTGGAGCAGTATCCAACCCTCGCAGTCCAAGTTGTTGGCTGTGGCGAAGGCGCAGAGATTGGCCATCATATTGCTGTAGGCCTGTCGCGGCTTCTTTAGCTCTGCGGCTTCCGTTTCAGCCTCTAGCTCCATCTCCATGTCTGGCGGCATCTCCTCCATTTCCCTCTCCTGATCCAGCTCCGACTTTATCTCAATTTGATAGTCAATGTAGAGCTTCAGCAAGTTGCTGCATAGAAATTAAAATTATTTTCATTACTGGACTCATGTGCGAGCCTTCAAATACCCACACAAAGTATTCGCCATCCCAGTTGTACTCCATCTGGTTGAGCAAGTAGGCTTCTGCATGCTTAAAATTGAGAGTCTGCACAGAGTTGAGGAACACATAAAAATTAAACATCATTTTGCAGGTGCAGGCCGACTTCAGCTCGGCGAACAGCTGCTTGGCCAGCACACAGTCGCCCACCATGCACAGGTTGCGATGCTCGTCCAAGAGGCGACGCATGCGCTGAAGATCGCGATCCTTGTTGATCACACAGTTGCCCAGAGCCTCCCAGCCGCAGTCGTTCAGGATTCGCACAATGCGTTCCATGAGATCTTTGTGCATGTGCGTCAGCATCTCCTGGATGGACAGAGCGAAGGGATTAGAATAGAGAGAGCAAGAGAGGGAGGGCAGGGAGAAAGGCAGATAGCAACAGAGACTGCGAGATGGGGAGAGTGTGCGAGTTGGATAGACAGATAGATAAAGAGAGATAGAGAGAGAATGAGAAATTCTGACTGAAAGAGAGAGGTAGACGGTAGACAGAAGAAGAGATAGGGCTTCTTTACCCGAAACACGCTGGACTCATAATAAAATATATACAGAGAGGGGGAGATATGCTTACTCTATTTTCAGTACGATACAGATGTAGATAGAGAGATAGATAGAGAGAGAGAGAGAGAGCATTCGGCGCACTTACTCGAAACTCTATGTTCGTCTTGGTAGGCATGCGCACATTGAAGTCGTTGCCACAGATGTTGATGAGTAGATTGCTCAGATTGCCCAGGGTGCAGCAGAAGTAGTTGCGTCGCTCGTCCACGTTCGTCAGATCGTTCTTGATGATGTAGCTGATTACGTCTTTGATGAGCTCGTCGAAGCGTCGATAGAGCTCCTTCAAGACATCTCGACTATTCGTCTCCACAAGCGGATCTATTGTGAAGCAGCGACACAGCTGACCCGCCTTCAGCTTGCTCTCATTATAGGTATCCAGCGACGCATTGCGCGTGCTCAGCGTTTGGAAGAAGCACAGCTTCATGATGGCAAACATGGGCAGGGAAGGGGCATCCACATTAGTCATTCGAAATGTTTTCCTAGTGCTACGCCTTTCCGCCGAATTGAGCACAGAGGCGAACCGGCAGGCGTTCACTGGGGATGGTTTAAGGAGATTTAAATACATAAAACAAAAAATACCCACTTTACTTCGTATTGTTAAATATAATATGATGCTCAGCTGGCATCAAGTACATCTGGTTTATCAAACAATTGCTTACATACCATCTGGGTATCCAAAGATGCTTAGGTTTATGACGCCCTCATACAAGACCTTGGATGGATCTGTATCGTAGAGCTGAAGCAGCACCTCATAGTCATTGTTCACGACGGCTGCCTCGAGAATGTCCTGCATCTCCCCGGTGATGACATAACGATGCATCGAGTTGCTGACCAGCGCGCTGTCCACGAAGGGATTGATCTTTTCCAGCTGGAAGTCGACGCCTTGGGTTTTGAGCAAGCGCTCCAGTATGCGGTGAATGGGGACGCGCAAACTCGTTTCCATTTGAACACTGGCCACGCCGGGCTCCTGTTTCTTCAAGAGGTCGCGCTTAATGGTCTCCCACACAATGACGGTGGTCTGATCGCTGATGATCTGGGAGTTGAAGCTGAAGAAGTCGCACACTGGCAGCACCTCGACGGGCTCCTCGTCTTCGACTCTCAGGGAGCGTAGGGAGATGCTCATGCCCAGGTCGGCGGCTCGAGAGTGCAGCTCCTCGGGCGCATTGTAGACGGACTCGAGCGTTATGAAGACCACATTGGAGAAGTGGATGTGCTTCAGTATCGGCAGTATGGAGTACATGTGCCAGTTGCTGGTGGTGGTTATCTTCTGGGTCGTTTCCGTCTGGAGGTTCTTGGAGTACTCCGGGTAGAGCATGATCTGCACGTTGTGAATAAAGCGTTTGCGCTGGAAGAGCTGCAGCAAATCGCAGTGGCCGCGCGACACGAACTCAAGGGATTCCTCAACATATTCGCCTTCATCGTCCTCTTCCTCCACCTCGCCCTCGGCCTCGCCCTCGGCCTCAGTGTCAACGGTGTCATTGACAACAGATGCGTCCCCGCCAGCTGCATCGACCGGCTTCTTATCCGACCTGAAGAACCACGCCGAGGCTTCGCCCCGCACCGTGCTCACAGTGATCAGCTCGTCCTTGCGATGCCGCGGAATGCGCTGGTACAGCGTGACCACCAGTGGATTGTCGCTGAACGTATTCATGTCCTCCAGATTGTCCTGCATGATGCCCATCGCAAAGGCCGGTCTGTCCATCTTGAATTCATTCTCATAGATGATCGTCTCCTGAGTGTAGTGATCGCACATCTTCTGCAGCGTGTTCTTCTCGTGGTGCAGATGCAGCTCCAAGGGATACGAGACCACCGGCATGTTCACTATCTCCTCCAGCTGCAGATAGAGGAAGACCCGTTGCGGGAAGGGCTTCGCGTCGGGACGTGCTGCCACAATCGAGCGCTTGCTCCCGAGCTGCGAGCGCTTCGACTTGCGCTTTGGCTGTACTTTGGCCGATTTGCGAGACTCCATTTGTTGGCTTTGATCAAATTACTGTACGGAATAACTCCAGTTCTCACAATCTAGCAATAGCCGGGTCCTACAACTGTCAGCTCGTTTTCTATGTGTACTGTGTAACAAAAGTTTTTCAGCTTCCTCTAGAAATACTTTCTTTATAGTCAGCACTATAAATCTGTAGCGATCTGCGTAATGAAAATTAAATATTTAAGCATAACCACACCCACTTGTTCTTGGTCTTTATATTTAGATGTGTTTAGGCATTACATAAGGTCGGCTCGTATTCTCTCGCTTACACGTTGAGCACGCACTTGTCAAAAATGTAACCCCAAAACAGCAGCATCAACAGCACGTACAGCGCCAACAACAACAGCAACAACAACAGCACGAGTGCGACAATGCATTTTGGCCAAGGCCAAACCAACAGCAGCATCAGCAACACCACCAGCAGCAACAACAACAACAACCTAGACACGTACTTGAACCTTTTTGTCCAACACTCAACTCTCGACAGGTGTTTGTAGTTGTAGTTCTCATCGTTACCATACGTAAGGTATGCCAGCTATATGAAACTTGCTGTGACGCAATCGGAATTAGCTAAATTGAATGCTGAAATTATAGAACTGAAAATATAAATATAAATAATACATAATAACAATAGAAATATCCTCTTCTAAATACATATTGCAATTATATTATATATTTAATTTAAAATCTGTAAATATATTTCATCATTGTCATTTACTGTCACTAAGAGTTTAAAAACATTAAATTTCTGTCTTAAAAAAAAAAAGAAATAAATATATTTATTGTATTTTTGATTACTTTACAATATTTAAATTCATTTGTTATTTTTTATTATTATTAATTATTTATTTATTTATTATTGTAATTACATATTTTTAACTGCAATATTTAGAATTCACTTCTATTTTTATTTTATTTTATTTATAACGTTATAAGATTTTAAAATGAATTTTTAATGTATATGAAATTATTTCGTAATTTTATATATTTTTAATTTTATATATATTTAATTTATTACTTATTAATTTTATTTTATTTAATTTTGATTCATTTATGAAATACCAATATTTTATTTTAAATAATAAATAATAATAATTATCAATTTAGGTATTTATTTAATGTATATAAATTTATAAATAAAGTCCATTCAAATGTAACATACAATTTATGAATTTACATACATTTATTTTACAATTATAAATTTTTTTATTTGTTTCATTTATTTCTATTTACCATATAAACATAAATTCTATCTATTGAGTCAAGAATCTATTGGGTATATTCCCTTTATATAAATTAATTTCAACATCAGCTTAATTCGCAAGCCAATAGGGCATACTAAAGTCGTCTGAGCTTTCGGCTCCTAAGGCTGTTTGTTTTTGTATGTTTTGTTTGCCAGGTGGCGAGTGCTCTAAAATCCGCTTTGACAGCTCGCCTGTCAGCTGAGCCCAACCAAAACGGTCGCCTGTGGTGCGGTATGTATGCAAGTGTGTGTGTATGTGTGTGTGTGTGTGTGTGTGTGGGCGTGTTTGTAGGTGTGTCTGTGTGTGTGTTTGCTGTTTGGCTGGTTGTTTACTATTTTGTTGGAACTCCAAGCAACATATGCTAATGACTCTGCAGCCCGTGTTGGAGCCGTCACAGTTGGGAGCCTGGGGTACTGTAGCAGGCCACTCAGCTGGAGGCTTTCAGCTAGTTTAAGGCCAACTGGGCAGCTACAGCACACACCCACATACACACACATTGGCTTCATCAAAATGAAATTTGCTGGCAAACACATAACGTAAAAGTACTTGGCAGGTACGCATCGAGCTCAAAGGCTTTAAAATGCGCTTTTAGTTGCAGCCCTCGCTTAATGTGGCTCGTATGCAAATCAATGCTTTGCCCTAGCCTCATCAGGCATACGCCATGCGGCAGAGCCTTTGCACCTGACGCAACAAAATCAATTAGACACTTGCATGCGTGGCATGCGAGGCATGCGATTTGCAATTGCACAACACGGCCAGCAGAACAACAATTGCAATTTAATGTGCTGCCATTGCCTGCTAATGATAATGTTGTTATGTGCCTATTATCGTTGTTGTCTCTCTTGTTTCCATGCCAGTGCAGCTGCAGCCAGAGCGCCATTCATTTGCATTTCAATGCAAAAGCTGCTCTTGGACTTGCTCTCCCTCTCTCTCTGTCTCTATAGATCTCTTAAAGTTTTCTCTGCTGCCTTGACATATATCATGTATTGAAGCAGAAGCAAGTTTCATTTAAAAACTCTGCCATGCGCTGACCCAGTTTCAAGAGTAAACCATAAACTCGGGCCAACTGCAGCCCTACCGATGCAAACAATCAACTTGGCTACAGAAGCAGCAGGAGCAGCAGGAGCAGCAGGAGCAGCAAAGCAAGTGCAACCTCAAGCAATTTCTAATCAAAATCTGTTAGTAAACGTGAGCGCAGCAGCTTATGTGAAAATGCCAGCAAATCTGTTCAAAGCAGATCAAGTTAATACCAAAATAGCTGAGCTCAGCGAAAACAGAACCCGCAAAAACCGCACATAACTCTACGCTGAAAGCTAATCATATACGCACACACACACACACATACACGTGTGTAGCAGAGGTTTTTGGGAAAAAAGACATGTGCGAAATATGTGCTAAAAAATTTCACAACAAAAAAAACTAACAGCTGTGTCGCCTCGCCTTTGTTCGGCCTTGCCCGAAAGTATGCAAAAGATTTTGCAGCTGCCATACGGCAAATGAATTTAACAAAGCTAACGTTAAATTTACACCGGCTGCGCGACTTGGCCGGGTCGAGGGGACTGGGCCTGTTCAGGTTTTTCGGCTGCTGGCGGCATGAAATTTTCATTTGAAATTGAATATGGAAAAAGGCGGCGCCCGACGCTCGACGCTCGACGACAGCTGCTGCAATTGACAATTATTATTATTGCTCAGTGCGAAGCGAAAAGCCGCACCGCACCAAAGCCAGCTGGCAACTGGCAACTGGCAGTTGGTAGCAGACATCAGGCATCAGGCAACATGGCTTGGTATTCATATGATGGCCGTGCAGCTCATAGCCAAACTCCGAATTGCCTCGTTGGCTTCAATAAAATCCAATGTACGCATTAAAATCATTTAAATTCTATTGTTTTTCCTTTCGTTTCACATATGCATTGTTTTTATTTTATATCCCCATTTTTCTTCATCCTCCTCCTTTTTTTTCTCTGTTTCCTCTTTTCATTTTTGTCTCGCCCAGACACACGAGCTGGCGGGCCGAGAGGGCGGGGCTGGCCCACAAATGCCACGTAAGCTGTTTTCGTTACGGCTTTTGGTGATATCAGCAAATGCATATTTAATGGCTTACGCGGCGTATGAGCAATGCGAGATGCGAATTATCTGTCGCGATATGCTTTTCGCCCCAAAATTTAATGGCTCTCAAAGCGCCGTAACTCAATGCAATTAAATCGAGAAAATCTAATGAGTTGATTTGTGTGTAATATTAGAAGCGAAAGCCGGGCTCGATTTTACTCTCTGAAAGGGAGACAATTTGTGATTTGCTTGAAAATATCGATGAATATTAAAGAGTTTTCTAGAAAATTGATAGAAAGACTTGAGATGACTTTCATTGAATTATTTTGCGTCCAAGTAAGCTGAATCAGAATTAAAGAGTATATTTGTAATAAATTATTTACAATAACCAGCAGTTATCGCTATCGATAACAACCCATTTTTTAAATTCTTTGTAAGATTTGCGTCCTAAATTAGAATCAGTCATCCAAGCACTAAAATATATATTTATTTATATGTATCTATTTCCAATAGTGTGTAAGTTAGACTAAGGCTATTTCCAGCTTGGTCTAGGCAGCTGCTATAGCTATCGATAACATTATATTTATTTTTATTCTTTGACAAAGTTGGCAATTTTTTAATAATCAATTAATATTTTTCTTTTAATTTTTTTATTTTTTATTTTTTAGAGAACTTCTAACTTCCTTTTAACACACATCTCCGTGTTAGTCAATTAATTTCCACCAAAAATATTTTCTTCTCTCTGCTCAAGCAGTTATCCACGCCCTTTTCGCCTTCCATTATTTGAGTTTTATTTTTGCCCTAATGCAGAAGTATTGTTCGCCTTAGCTTGACGCCTTTATGTTTGCCAAAACGCCAAAACGTCAAAAACTCCAAGCGACGTTTGCACTCTGCCGCCGCCTGCCCGCGTCCTGCTGCTCAAAGAGCTGTGCAAATGTTCAGCGTCAAAAATGCGAGTGGAGGAGCCCAGGCAAAGAAAGGGTGAAGCTGCTGAATTGAGGAACGAGTCGGGCTTGTTTGCATAATGCGAAGCAGTCAACAGCGAGAGCACACACAAAAACCAACACACACACACACACATACAGTGGTAGACAGACAGGCACACCCAGCCGCCCACAATTGTGACATAAAAATGCTGCGGTTTTTATTTTACAATTCCATACGTTGTACTTTTGCTCAGGCAAGGAATTTTATGCTGACAGCAGCGAAATCGTTTTGGTAAGCAAAAAGGATTTTCGCTGTTGCTGTAAACGCTTTTTGCGTTGATTTGTTCGTTGATTTGCGTAAAGGCGGCTGCTGCTGCTGCAACAGCAGGCGTAAAGTCGCGTTAAGCAAACGTAAACAGCAAATCCCTTTGCCGTATGCCAGGTCGCCACGTTATGGCCAAGTTTTTCATTTGTCGCATTTATAAATTATTTAAAGTGTCGCCCTCTGCCTCAGTGCCCTCGCTGCTCTCTGCTTGAGGCAGTTAGTCTCTCTGTGTGTGTGCGTTGAGTTGATGTATGCATCTGCCTCTGTCTCTGCGAGTGTGTGTGTGTGCATCATTGACCTCATGACCCCAAAAGGGCGCTCGCACACATTCAACATTTATAGTAGACAAGCTGGTCCAGTGACATGACAAAACCATAAACAGTGGCTAAACAAGGTGCTTAAATTATGCCACAAGATCTCAAAACTGGCTGTAAATAACAAGCCAGACCGGACAGCAACGAGTGGCTGCTTGGGGCGCGAGGGGCCACAGTGGGTA